CGTTCGGGACGATCTGGGCACCCCCCGGAGCGCGCTCGGCGAGGCGCAGCTGCTAGAACGCATCCCGATGCAGGAGGAAAAAAAACAGGAATCGACGAGAACCTCTGAAAGCCCCGAGTCCCCACTGACTCACCACACGGTGTGGTCACCGCACCGCTTGTTGGGAGCCTGGATATGGACGTCAACACCAACAACAGGGCTCCACCGGGGGAAGACGATCCTGGCTTCTCAGAAGCCCTCCAGCCTTCTGAGAAGCCGTCTCTGTGCTCGGAGAAGGCTTAGACAACTTCTCAGAAGGCGCCCTCCGAGCCTTCTGAGAAGGCCCGCCCCCGGTGGTTTTCGGGTCAGAACTTGGGCGTCTGGCGGCCGCTCGGAACGACCAGGGCACCCAAGAAAGCCCTCGACGAAGCGCAGCTGCTGGAAAGCAGCCCGAAGCTGAAAGGCCGCCGAGAAGCCGCCACGAAGCGACGACAACATCGGAAAGCCTCGAACCTCGAACCCCCCAGGGCTCGCCGCCGTCCAAAAAGTCCTCGACGAAGCGCAGCTGCTGGAAAGCAGCCCGAAGCTGAGAAGCCGCCGAGAAGCCGCCGAGGAGCGACGAAATAACATCGGGAAGCCTCGAACCTCGAACCCCCCGGGGGCTCGCCGCCGCTGGTGCCAGCCTCGATCTTGGGAACCCCAGGTAAGACGAGGCCAGGACGAAGGCACAATCGGGTGAGGAGAAATGCAGAATGTCGAAGATCCCGCGGCGCTGGAGGACGTCTCGGGCGCGGCGGCCCTTTTGGAGCCCTCCAGAACGCTCCGAGAGCGTTCTGGAACGCTCTATAGAACGGATTTACCCTCGTCCTGGCTCCGTCCGCTCTCTCCTCTTTAGGCGGCGCGCCAGGGGGGAAGTGAGGAGGGCAGGCCTTCTCAGAAGGCCGCGGCGCTTCTCAGAAGCCTTCCTGCATTCTGAGTATACGGAAGTTGTTGTGTGCTCGGGGAAAGCGCTCCTGCCTTAGACTGAATCCCAAGCCCTCCTGCCTGGTGATTATTCTGCTGTCCTGCCATCCGCCCTCAGATGTGACTTGCGTACTCGGGGAAGGCTCAGAGGATCTATCCTCGCGACGCAGGGTCGGGTGAAGCCGCCCTCCGACCACACACGCCAAGTACCAACCGCGCAGGGTAGACGCGAAGTGCGGAGCACTGAGCGTGTTTGGGCGCATTCCCAACGACACGCAAAGAATGGGACGATGACCGCATCCTTAAGTCGGGCGTGTCCCCCTACAGGGGGACTTTCGACGAACAATGAAAAAAATACCTTACAAAGATTCCAAAAATGCTTTTAAAAATATATCACAAGATAGTCCCCAGACCATTTTCTGACTGTTTTGGGCTATTCCCCCTGTAGAGGGACAGGCCCGCCTTCACCGCATCCTCCTCCTCCTCCTCCTCCTCCTCCTCCTCCTCCTCCCCCTCCTCCTCCCCCTCCTCCTCCTCCTCCTCCTCCTCCTCCTCATCCTCCGTTCGGCCCGGGCGCCTCTTCGCCGGGGCCGCGGCGCCCGCGCCCGGGGCCGGCCCGGGCGCGGCGGGGCGCGGCGGCGGGCGCCTCGGCGCCGCGGCCTCGCACCGCGCCCTCGAGGGCGGCGCCCGCGCGCGGCGCCGCCTCGGCCGCGTCCTCCCAGGCCTTCCGGAAGACGCTCTCCAGGAAGTGCACGGCTCGGAGGAGGCCCCGCCGAGGCGGGGGCGGGCTCCCCTGACCTTCCAGAGAGCTATTTTTTAGCACTGCAGACCTAAAAACATAAAAAAACGGGACGAAACAGCCTAAAACCAAGACGTAGAACAGCTCTGGGATAGGTTTTTAAGTCGCGTGCTATTTTTTAGCCCTCCTGGAAGGTCAGGGTCCCCCCCCCCCCCCCCGGACCGGCCAGCCATGACTGGGGGAGAGCTGTGGTCTGTAATTACCCCCCTGGGGGAACCCATATCGCACCGACGCTCTCTCGAGGGGGGGGGGGGTCGAAACCGACGGGTCCCCCCAGAGGGGGTGAGGACCACAGCTCCCCGAGCTGTGGCTGGCCTGCCGGAGGCTCTCTGCGCGACCGTCGCCGCGGCCGGATCCGCCCCGGCGGGCGCCGGCGGAGCGCAGGCCCCGGCGGAAGGGCGGGCCCTCCCGGGCGCGTGGGTTCGGCCGCTCGCCGGGGAGGCTGCTCGGCGCCACGGCGGGATCCGCCCCGGCCGCCGAAGAGCTCTGCGGGGTGCGAGCGGGGCAGCGGCAGACGGCTGCGGGGGCCCCTGCCCGGCAGCCGGGCAGAGGAAGCTGGCCTGGCCCTGCCTGCCGGCTTCTGCTCCCAAAGAGCCAGAGGCAGCTCCCGAGGGGCCTGGGCCAGGAGACACTCCGGGTGGGGTCTGGGGGCCGAGTTCGGCGGATCGGGGCTGGGCGGAAAAAAAAAACAAGTTATCCCGGCAAAGCAACCTAACAGCGATGTGTAGGAGCATATCTGGAAGCATTCCCCTTACGATTCAGATGAGAATCCAGTTGTAGAATTCTGCTGTTCTCGCAGTCGTAGTCGCATTCGCGATGACAGTCGCAGTGGCAACGGCAGTCGCAGTCACAGCCTCAGCCTCAGCCCTGCCTCAGCCTCAGCCTCAGCCTGCCTCAGCCTCAGCCTGCCTCAGCCTCAGCCTCAGCCTGCTTCAGCCTCAGCCTCAGTCTGCCTTCAGCCTCGGCCTCAGCCTCAGCCTGCCTCACCCTCAGCCTGCCTCAGCCTCAGCATCAGCCTGCCTCAGCATTCAAAATGTGGCCCAGGAATGGAGTTCTGGGAACTCGAAGAACACGAAGTGGCCTACAGTTGGCTCCGGGCATTCAAAATCATGCCCAGGAATGGAGTTCTGGGAACTCGAAGACCACGAAGTGGCCTACAGTTGGCTCCGGGCATTCAAAATGTGGCCCGGAATGGAGTTCTGGGAACTCGAAGAGCACGAAGTGGCCTACAGTTGGCTCCGGGCATTCAAAATGTGGCCCGGGAATGGAGTTCTGGGAACTCGAAGAGCACGAAGTGGCCTACAGTTGGCTCCGGGCATTCAGAATGTGGCCCGGGAATGGAGTTCTGGGACCTCAAAGGCCACGAAGTGTGTAACTGTTTGCTTAAAACGACTTCCGCGGACTCTCCCCGGCACCCGTCTGGCATCTGCCCAGACCCCGCTGGGGCGTCATGATGCTCTCTTTTGAGCTTACTAGAAACCTATCAGTCTTCGCTGTTAGGTAAAAAAACAACATGCAACGTCCTGCTGTTGTCGAGCCGAGGCCCCCGGAGGTCGCGACCCTCCCTTCCATAGGGTCTGCTTTGCATCCCGAATCGTTTTCGGACGGCCCCGGGGCCCGGCGAGGGCCCCCGGAGGCCGCGAGCGCCCGAAAACCTCCCGCGGTGACTTCCTACCGCGCGAGCACGTCCGGGGAGCCGCCGTGGTCTCGGCGGGCCCTCCTCCGAGGACGGCCAGCGGCTGCGTGAGCTCCAGGTTCGAGGCCTGGAAGCGCCAGCCGGGCCTCCGCGCCGGGGCCGAGTCGCGAAGTCGGATCGGATCGGGGGCGGGTCGCATTGCCAGCGAATCTGGGGAAACAAGCAGTGACACAAGAACAAAACTCGGAGGTCCGCGCGGATTTCTCGGATCGGCGATGGACCCCCCCTCCTTGGCGCGCGGAGGGCGCCAGGGGCGGCGCTGGAGGCGCCGCCAGGGGGCTCCAGCGCCGATCCGAGAAATCCGCACAGACCTCCGAGTTTTTATGTTTATGGCACTGCTCGTTCCCCTAGAATCGTCCCGAATCGAATCGAGATCGGATCGCTGCGCCTGGCTCTGGCTGGCCCTGGGTCAGTGAATCGAGACGAATCGAATCGGATCGGATCGGAATCGCGGCCCCAGGCGTAGGAATCGAATCGAATCGAATCGGAATCGGAATCGAATCGGTATCGGATCGAATCGGAATCGGAATCGAATCGGAATCGGAATCGGATCGAATCGGAATCGGATCGAAATCGGATCGAATAGAAATCGGAATCGGAATCGGATCGAAATCGGAATCGAATCGGAACCGGAATCGAAGCGAATCGAGTCGCATCGAGTCGGATCGTAGGCGGCCCTGCCAGCCAGGCCTCCGCGCCAGGACCACGTCCACGTGGTGGGCCTCCGACTGCTGCCCCATGGCTCGGCGGCGCGCCCGGGGGTGTTCGCAGGCTCGAGGGTTCCGAAAACGTTTTCGCAGGTCCTCCTCCTCCTCCTCCTCCTCCTCCTCCTCCTCCTCCTCCTCCTCCTCCCACCTCCTCCTCCTCCTCCTCCTCCCCATCCCCCTTCCTCCTCCTCCTCCTCCTCCTCCTCCTCCTCCTCCTCCTCCTCCTCCTCCTCCTCCTCCTCCTCCTCCTCCTCCTCCAGCCTCGGGAGGCCTTCCAGCAGCTGCGCCTCGTCGAGGGCGTTCTGGGGGCGCCCCGATCGCCCCGAGCGGCCCGTCGGAGTCCCGAGGCTGCGGCGCGAAAAAGCACCAGCAGAGGGGGCGGGCCTTCGCAGCAGGTTCTAAGAAGTCCTCTGGCTCTCTGAGAAGCGTTCTAAGCCTTGTCGTAAGACACAGGGGTCTTCTCCGAAGTCCGTTAGGCCGTTGGGCTTCTGAGAAGCCCCGCCGCTCTCTGAGAAGGCATGCCCCCTCTCGCCTCCCCCCTTCGGCGCGCCGCCGAATGGCCCACCGCGCGGCCATGAACGTCATCAGCAGGGTGCCGATGTCTGGAGGAAGGAAAAACGGCATAAACATAACCTTTGTTGAGCTCCGCGCGGATCTGTTGGATCTGCGCTGGGTCCCCCTCCCTGGCACGCGGGGCGCGAAAAAGGCAGAGGCCCAGCGCAGATCCAAGAAATCCGCAAGGAGCTTCGAAAGCTTATGTGAATGCCGTTTTTTCCTCTTCGAATGTCGGCCAGCGTGTTGAGGATGCCCCGGAAGGCGGTCATGCCGTTGTCGAGGTACTGGCTGGCCTCTCCAGTCACGCAGCCGCCGCAGCACGGAGGCTGCAGGCCATGCTCCAGGCACTTTGCCCGCGCCTCGTCCGTCTCGATCTGGGAGCCCGCGGAGTCGGTGTACCAAAGCACGCCGACGCAGAATCGAGGCGAGTAGCCTTTGTCCAGCGCCCATTCGGTGCACGCCTGCACTGTGTGCTCCGCCTCCTCCTCCTCCTCCTCCTCCTCCTCCTCCTCCTCCTCCTCCTCCTCCTCCTCCTCCTCCTCCTCCTCCCCCTCCTCCGCTTCCTTCCCCTCTCTCCCTCACTCCCTACCCTCCGTCCATCCATCTTCCTGGCAAGTAGGAGAAGGGGAAGCAGCGACAGGATGGAAAGGGGCAAAGACCCTCGGGCCATAAAAAGATACGACGGAGGTGTGTTGGCAGTGTTCGACCTCTGGGGGCCCTTGCCGGGCCCAAGAGGCCGACAGGAAAACTACTCTGGACGAAAAGCTGGCCCCTGGAAAGGATCCAGACTTTTTGGAGTCCACGTCCAGATACATACATACACATATATATATATATATATATATATACACATACATACATGTATGTATACATAACCACCAAATATTGGTTATATCAAAAAATGTACCTCTCCCGGGCCGCAGCCTGACCAGAATTTGGAGACGAATCCAGCGGCGGGGACGAAGAGGCCCTCCAGAGGCCCTCAGAGCCTCGACCCGCGAAGTTCGAAGTCCGAAAATTCGAAGTCGGGCGCCGCCGCTGGAGGCGTCCCAGGTGGGGTCCGAGCAGGTGGGGCCGGAGGATGGAGCGCTCGACGTGGAGTCCGACTTTCTCCACGCCGACGTCGCCGATGCATCGCCAGCGTGGCCGATGTATCGACGATGCATCGGCGGCGCATCGGCAAGGTATCGGCGATGCGGCGCGATCATCCGATCCCGATCCCATCTACTCGGACCCCATCTGGGAGGCTTAGAGCCAAGGGTCACACTTCAAAGTTCGAAGGCTGGTTCGAAGTCAGAAGTGTGGTCGAGAGCAAAGAGATTGTTCATTGTTTTGTGTCACGGTAACGGTCACGGTCGCTGCCCACGCTTGGCGGTGTGGGGGGGTAGAGGCACGTCGGAGCGGAGGTGCGCTGCGATCGCCACTGTGTGCACGCGAGCACCAGCTTGTGGGGCAAGGGTCTCATCCCCCCCATACGTACGATCGCTACCGGTACCAGGGGGGAGGAGGGGGGTCCAGGTAACAACCGTTGCGCGCCAGAGCATAACAAAAACATGGCACGAGAGCAGGAGCACAAGAGGCCGGGAGCAGGAGCAGGCTCGAGAAGGAGGAGCGCCGGCAGCGGGCCTCCCCGGTGCAGCCGCTCTCTTCCGCCGTGTGCATGCAGAACTGCTCGATCTTGGCCAGGTGCTCCACGCCCTTGTAGCGATCCAGCCACGTGAGATGAAGAAAAAATTGCATGAGCATGAAACGTCTGAAGCCCCGCGCGGATTTCTTGGATTGGCGCTGGGGCCCCTTCGCTGGCGCGCAGAGCGCGCCAGGGGCGGCGGCGACGCCAGGGGAGCCCCAGCGCCAATCCGAGAAATTTGCACGGAGCTCCGAAAGTTTATGTTTACGCCACTGTTTCTTCTTCGAGAAGTGAAGGAGGAGTCCATCACCTTCAGTGGCAACTCAAGGGAGCCTCGCATGTCATCCTGGTCGCACTTGCGAAACGAGGCGAATCAGCGCTAATCGACGCGAATCGATCCAAAACTGACGCTAATCGACGCTATCGACGCTAAATCTGCGCTATCTCATCGGTTACCCGACACTAATCGACGCTAACGCACGCCGAAGACGGAATTACGAAAACATACGAGGTTCCCATGATTTGCTACCGAACATCACCGTAACGACGGACACCATGGCTGTGAAGGCGAGGATGCCGCCTTGGCTGGTCTGCCGGGACCCGCCGACGCCTTGGCGCCGGCGCCCCAGCTGATCCCCGGCCTTCACGAGCTCCTCGCGCGGCACGGGGCCACACACCCGGCCACCAGTGAGCCCTGTTGGGCGGCGAGCCCAGGGAGGAAGCGAGAGGGGGCGGGCCTTCTGAGAACTTCTCTGGGCCCACTCCCAACACGCAGACGGCGTCTCAGAAGGTCGGAGGGCTTCTGAGAAGCCACGCCTTCACTCTGAGGTGGCCAGTCCCCTCTCACTTCCCCCCGGGCTCGCCGCCGACCTGTGGAGCGATCTGCCACCGCCTGGTCTGGGAAGCGGCCAAAATATAGCCGCAGATAGGCCCTGCGGCGGAAGCTGACGCCCGTGAAGCCGAACTGGCCCGCAACTATAGACTTGGCCGCGTGACTCTGGAGGTACTGGGTGCCGTAGTCGTGCGGGCAGGTGGACCACATGAAGAACAGAAGCAACAAGATCGACAACACGTACACAGTCACCACCTCTGCGGACTTCTCCCGCAGCATCGCCATCAGGTGCTTGTCCATGTTTTGCTGGATGCTCTTCACGATCCTCACTACCTCCACGTCGCCATCATCCACCGTTGGGCCTGCTGTCACGAGTGCCCCTATCAACACGGGCATTGACATCATTACCAATAGTATAAGCATGTATTGAAAAATCCGCAGGAGAACCCGGGGTAAGTCGCCAGAGAAGAAGTCTGGCCGCTCGGTCTTGAGCAGCAGCACGCGGCCCTGGCGCTTGAGGACCAGCACGGCGTCGTCGTCCCTCGGCCGGACAAAGCAAAAAAGGCCCAGCGTCAAAACCATCAGGCAGCACACGGTCGCGGGGTGGAACTTCTCGTTCCTGACCACCAGCGCCCTCTCGAGGTCCTCGGGGGCGACCTCACCACCCAGGGCGTCGTAGATCTGCTCGAGGGCCTGCTCCTTCAGCTGCTGACCACAGTCCCTGCCCTGCAGCAACTGGTCGAAACTCCCTGCGCACGGGGACCTCGCCGCCCGCTCCAGCCAATCGGCTCTCTTCTGAGCCTCATCCTGCGACAGGATCAGCGGGCTGCGCTCACAGAGGAACAAAAACACCACAAACATACGCTTTCGGAGCTCCGCGCGGATCTCTCGGATCGGCGCTGGAACCCCCCGTGGCGGCGCCTGCAGCGCCGCCCCCTGCGCGCACCGCGCGCCAGAGGAGGGGGCCCAGACCCGATCTGAGGGGCAACGACGGGGCGGGGCCGGCATGGGGGGGGATGCGTCGACCTGGAATCGGCGATACATCGCCGATGCATCGGCGATAGGCCTCTGATAGTGAGTCCCCACCTTCCTGGGCAGGTTGGAGCCATCGGGCCCCTGTCGGTGATCTGTGGGCGATGTGGGGTCGATGTATCCCCCCTGTGCCTTATCCCCCCTATCGCTGCCTCTGAGCCCAGAGCCAATCCGAGAAATCCGCGCGGAGCTCAGAGAAGGTCGTGCTTGCGTCGTGCTTCCTTCCTCGAGCTCACGGCCGCGCGCTTCCCTGGCGGGCTCGCGCCCCCCGACTGCGGGCGCGGCCCGGCCCTGGCGGCCGCCGCCCTTGCCGTAGGCCCTCTCCCTGCGCGGCTCGCGGTCGGCGCGAGCCCCGTCGCCCCGCTGCGCCATCGTGCGGGGGCGCCAGGCACACACCTGCACCGATCCTGGCCAGGCCCATCCCGGCGATCTGACTCTTTCTCCTCTCAGTCCCGGCGCTTTTGCTCCTCGACCTCGGCCTCCGGGGCCCGTCTGTCGGGCCCCGGGGGCATACAAGGTGGGCCCGGGGCGAACCCTGGCCCTAGAGGGGGCGGGGTCTGGAACTTTGGAACCGCGCGTTGCAAAAATCAGATCGCCAGGACGTCTGCGGCTTCCACCTTCGGCAATCCTGGCCAGGCCATCCTGGGAGCAGGATCGGTGCAC